ATCCACCAGAATGACTACTAGGCTGACTTAATTATTAGGAGGCTTGGCAGATCTGCTTAATTTGAGTTGACCCAATTGTGAAAAACTCAAGGCGCCCATAAACCTCCTTTAGTACGCGCTGCACTTGGTCTGCACGGAATGTGCGACCTCAACGGTATGTCCACTAAGTGGCCTACGTAGTCATGAGTCAGATGCATTCAAGGGTTTTTCCGTGCATACGACTACAGTTTGCGACGACCTTTGCTAGGAGACCCGGGGAAATTGGTTCGCATTTGTGACTCATTTGGACGCAACTCGATGGGAATCGTTCATCTGCCCCCCACCTCTCCGACAGGAAAGAGGCATAAGAAAACTTTCCCGGCAATATAGTTCATTTCTTGGGAAGAATGTCGGGAACGGTAGGTTATGTAGGCACTCCTTAGCCCCCACTAACCATGGGATCGTGTAAAATGGGAGTGGTGCTAATGGGACTTTTAAGGATGGGGTCTCACGGCAAACAAGCAGTGAAATTTGTGCAAGAAAACCTAACTGTAGAGGATTGCGTAGTCTGTAACCAGATGCGTAATGTCGGACTGGTTCTGCTTGCTTTATCTTTACGCGTTGTCTTTTTAATTGAATCAATAACTGTAATGAGACAATGGACATGGTTCTATAATTGGAAGGGATAAGAGAAGCATAAGAAATCTTAGTAGCAACGAGATCAAGTCGTTTTGCGTGGGACAAAGTTTGGAAATTCGAACAAATATTAAAGGCGTTAGGGGAAACAAAAAGGACGAACTTACCCAAAAAGGGGACAATCAACTATAAGATAAACAGTATGGTGTTGAATAATATAAAAATTGATAAGAAGGCGACTTGATCGCTGGGACAATACTTTTATTCTCCTGACGTTTCGAGATCCGTCGCAGATTCGTCATCAGATACGTAATCAGAGAGAAGTAGCAGATACGGTTCTCTGCTCTCTGATTATGTCTCTGATGATGAATCGGAGACGGATATCGAAACGACAGTATTGTCCCAGTGATCGAGTCGACATCTTCTCAATTACTCCCTGGGACTCGCATGTTCGCATGTTTGTATTGTTAACATAAAAATGCCATATAAATGACTTTAACATTAATGCCAAATGTAACGCGTCCAGTGTTATAGTGAGGCGAATGGTTATACTACTGTTAAATAGATGGAAGTGGAGGCAACAGGGGATAATACGTGGGAACGTACAATAACAAGTATGTAAATTTCTGCCAAATGTACTTCTTTTAGGTCTGTTTATAGCAACAAAATTGAGAGTTATATTTGAAAAGAGAAATAAACAGGAAGCAAATCTCAGTAAGTTAAAAGGAAGTTGAATAACAAAAACCGCTTTAAAACAACTTCCTGCATGTCATCATATAAATGCAGTAGTTACTACACAGAGACTTCCTTCCTGTAGTTATGAAAGAGTAAACCAAACCAGGCCAGGCTATGCTTTTTTTAAATCTACGAGGCTTACATAACCTATTCTAACCAATATGCTTGTTCCGTATCTGGTAAGAGTTACTTATCCGGCTCTCTATACAGAATATGAGCACAGGAACCGTCTGAAATACAAGTAGGCTTGCGCACAATGTCAGATAAAGCAGACGCAGGTTTAAGATTACATTTAGAGGTAGGTTTAAGTTTAGGGTCACGGTTAAGGCTACTGCCAACTCTAGGGCTAGGATTTAGGTTGAGGCCTAGATTAAACTTGGGACCACGATCTAGGTTTATGTTTACGTTGTAACTTACCATACTAACAGCCTAGGTACTAGCTAAAAGGTCCAGACACGTGTTTCGTCGGTATTCTGCCGCTGCTTGACACAGCTGCGAGGGCCCCCCAGCTTTCCCTGTCTGCTTTCTGGTTGATATACCGGTTTTGAAAGTTGAGCTTTTTAATCTCCTGAGAAATTAATTTCTTTTCGCGGTATAC